CTGTGTACAGAGCAGTGATATTGTTCGCATCGTATACAAGCAAGCTGCAACATCCTTACGGGTCAGGATGCAAGCAAGCTACTCCGTCCAGCTTTATTTAAAAACCACTTTCGTATTTCTGGATGAATCGAGTTGAAAATAGGTATTTGGTTATTGCTGATTTTTGGAGTTATTCATCAACAATCCTTATCATCTTGTTAGTGTAGAAGATAATGGTGTTGGGGCAAATCAACATGTATCGCTAGTGAAGGAACTTAGCGAGGTATTCGAGCCCCACCGTATCAAAAATCAAAAGTCAAAACCCTTTCCGTATTCACTCTGTTTGAGAGAGGGTAGCAAATGCCCATTGACAGGCGCAAGGGAGTTAAATTCCATTCGAAAACTAAAAATAATCTTATGAAACGGCTTTTAGAATGGGCGAACTTTTGGCCGACTCTCAAACGGAATGATGGTGCAAAGGTGCTGACAATGTGCCATCTTCACTAGCGAACGCAAAAATGACTGAAAGCCCATTCGCAAGGAGGAACAGAGGCAATTGGAAGCAAATCAAACGAACGGACAGCACTCTGTTACAAGTAACATATGCTGGAAAAGTTGTCAGTGATGGTCTTTCACGTGAGAATTGTCTGAGAAATAAGTGATTTTCGATTCCTTGGGATGCTAAGCACATTTACGCCAGCTTACCATCGAAACGAATCATTGGGTAACAAGTATCCTTAATGATGATCAAGCAGTCCAGAGAGAATGGAGTTAGAGCAGCTGAGGAAAGTATGACAAAAGTGTTACAATGCAGTAATGGAGATCTAAGAGTAAATTTGCTACATTAGAGCCCATCAGCTATAAGTAAACCGTCACCCAGGAATTGAGGCAATTCGAAATCCATTTGTCTAGAACACTAATTTTGCTCCCTCAGCTATTTTGATCAAAAGCTGAATTCGTTGAACTCGAGAAAATCCAAAGATTGAGTTTGCCAAATGGTTGTACAATTGTATCATTGTCAACTTCCCTGAGCAAAGAGTAAATATAAGGCATGCAACCATGCTTGTAACAATGTTTTTACAGCAAACACTGTAAATAAACAAATCGGAAATAAAAAGGTGTGGGCGAAACAACGAAAATAAAATTGCTAAAAAACCAAAGACAAGTTTTTTTCCTAAAAAAAATCCCTACTGGCCTATCAAGTCATAGAAGTGAGTGACTAGATTCAGTTTCAAGTGACCACTGAATAAAAAACATTTTATTTTCTTTACGAAAAGTTTCCTTCACCTATATGCAGAAAACAGTAGTAATCTTAGTAACAGATTTGTTGAAAATCGGTGGAATATTGCGCATTAATGAGTAGTAAACCGCAAAAACGAAAACAAATAGTTGGCGGGAAGAGAGGGAATTGGGGACCGAAGACACACTATGAAAAGGCCATGAATACTGACTGGAGGTATACAGGTCCGGATCAAAAGTCCTGGTATTTTTGCACCGGGAGATATTCCTGGTATTCTTGGTGATAGCCATTTTTTCTTTTTCACTA